TCAATGGAATTCGGTTTAGAGTCACGTAGTTACTGAATATTCACGCACACAATATGAAAATCAATAGCTCAACCAGAGTTTACAGAAAATGATAGACAAGAAAGAGTAAGTAGTGCTTGAGAAAAGTTGAAGAAATAAGTAAAGTGCTTATTTTTAATGTAATTCTGAATTATACTGTCACATACCATGCTTTTCCTGCATCTCTGAAATGCGTTTATCCAAATCTTTTTTGGTGGGTCGTATCTCGTTCTTCAGTTCACCGTAGGCCAGCTGCAAATTTGATTTCAATATTTGTTTACCAAATGCTCAATACTAGAGCCCTGCGTCGGTGAATTTATTTGGTTGGATCCCAAATCGATTTATCGAACTAAGCAGAGTTCGAATAAACGACTCATTAAACCCGAAGGCATTCATGCGAACGAAGTTCGATCTGCTCGAGTCAGCAACATGTTCGAGCTAACGGTAATTTAATCGTTGCTGGAATGTAACCGAAAAAGTCGGCCTCGATCATGTCTGGCTTATTTTTCGATTTACCCGACTTTTTGACCGACTCAATTCAGTCTTGACTCGCTCAATCGAAATAATTCCTCAAGTATCAGAAACGCATTTCGTTTGACTCGATGCAGGGCTCCAGTTAATACTACTAAATACCTCCTTCTCCAGATTTGCAATGTCATCGTTAAGGCGCAAGACCTCTCGCTTCGAGTGCAGTAGATCCGCATCGCCACGATCCAGACGTTGGCGCAGCGAATTGATCTCCGCCGTAAGCCGAGAGGCCTCCGTCTTGGTCTCGCGTGCAGCACGGTCTAGCTGTAGGCGCAGCGCGGTAATCTCCTGCTCTAGCGATTGCTTCTCCGCATTGGCCTGTGCCATGTCTGCCAGGAAGGTAGTACGATTGGCGCGCAATTCCATCTTCAACTCGTCTATTTGCGAGTTTCGATTGGCCACATCGCGTTTGAGATCCGTTTCGTAGCGCTTTTGCCGTTCCAGCTCCAGCTGCAGTTTGGCCACCTGCTCCCACTGGCTGCTCAGGTCACCGCCCAGCTGATCCACTTGGCTGTTGTAGCGGCGCTCCGCACTCGCTCGCTCATCGGCCAAGCGTCGCGCCATCTCATGTTGCAGTTCTCGGACGCGCTCGTGCTGCCTGTCAAGCTCATCCCGAAGATGGCGTACCTCCAGCTGCAGAAGTCAGCAAACATGTGAAACTCTTAGGCACAAAAATATACTCTTCTTAATTCCACCAGTCGACACGAATTTGTAGAACTACCCCGAAAAAAAACGCCATGCATATGCTCTAGTTGTGAATCTTTGAACCAGTGCCAATACGGCCCAAAAACATTCTAATTTCCTAAAGATGATGTTTCATCTTTAATACTTTCCAAGATAGTCAAGTGGCTATCGATGCTGATTAAGTAACTTATTAAGCTTTGATGCCACTTACCTCAGCCTGAGAGCGCTCCATTTGCACCAGGTCAGTTATATATCGCTTAGAGGTAGCGCTGTTGTGTTGCTGTGATTTGGCCTCATCCAGCAGGCGCTGTAATTGGCGCACAGATTCCTCCAGGTTGGTCTTATCCTGCTGCAGCAGCTCCAGCTGCTTGCGATGCGTCTCACAGTTGCCGCTGCCCAAGGTGGCCACAGCACTGAGAGGATCCGTGTGGGCCAGCTTGCGCTTCAGTTCCTCGTTCTCGGTCCGGACGCGTTTCAGATCGATGTTGGCCTGCATCAGCTCCGCCTCCAGTTCGCTGATGCGTGCCTCGTAAACAATGTTCGGTGCACTGGCATAGCGCGGAGATGGCACCTTTGGGTTGCTCTTGCGTGGCGTGCCTGGCGTCTTGCGGCCGGCGGCAAAGAGCAGGTGCTCATCGCTATCCGAGGAGGGGGTGCTTGTAGTGGGCATCTGTGGAAGCTTGGATGGGCCACTGCCCAGTGCTGCCAGCTCGCTGCGCGCATTCTCCGTCAGATGCTCATTCTCGTTGATCACATCCTTCACCTTGCCAAGCAAGTTGGTCAGCTCGTTGCGACAGTACTTGGACTCCTTCTCCAGCTGCTCAATGTAATCCTCCTGCTTCTCAATAAAATTGAAGATCTCGACTGGCGCTTGAACGCTGTCCGTGGGCAGAGCAGGCGCTGGCACACTGCTTGGATACAGAACTGGTGTCGTGGCTAGATTCTCCTTGGAAGCGGAGAGATAGCCAGAGCCATAGCTCTTCTTGGGACGATAGGTGCTGATGCGCGTCTTCTGGCTGGGCGACAAATACTTGGAAATGTCCGAGAAAACGGGTCGCTCAATGACCTGAAAGAATGAAGCACACATCATCTGGTGGATAATATGAAATTGCTTGTGCCAAACCCACCGATAAATTGTCCGAGAAATTATCGCCTGAGTCCTCATTGAAGTTGCGCAAATAGGCCGCCGCACTGCCAACCATTTTGGGCGTGGTCGCATAGGAGCTATCGGCCAGCATTACCTTTAGGCGGCCCACCGCCTCGTTATAAGCATAGTTTGTATAATCCATAGTTTTGCTCTTCTTGCTGATACCCTTCGAGGACTTCATCGAGAAATTTCTAAAGGTAACAAAACAGAAAAAAACCGCGATCTATACTAAATCACATTTTTTGTATTTCCAGTTAGTAAAAAATGTATCCCTATAAGAGCGCGTAGTGCGCGAGTCGGCCGAGAACTGAGCCTCGAGAACTGAGGCTGCCCATTTTCATTGGGGTGACAAATGCTGCACTTGTGCCACGGGCCTCGAACGGTTGCCGGGACAACGAGTTGGCCAAAATACAAATGTGTTCAGTACCTTAACCCTGCCGGGCATATACACACACACACACACACACACACACACACACATGCATACGCTTTTGACCATGTGTGCATGCGTCACGGTTCACTGGACACGCCTAGTTCTTTTTTTTTTTTTCTTGCCATTGCAGAGCGTATCAGCATATTTTTTTTAGAAAATACGTAACACATTTGAAAAATCCATGACATTATAGATATATGAACTATTCCTAACTGATTCCGTGCTTGGGTTCACTTTTCGGTTTAACGCTTTTAGGCTTAATGCTTTTGGTTTTGGTTCATAGATCTACCAAGTTTTCAGTCTCAATCTCTGATGGTCTTGAGTTAGATTAGAGATTAGAACGGGTGTATAAATATAGGGGAAGAGTTGCAAGAAATGGGACAAAACTTAATTCATATTATACAGATAGAATAGAATTAATTGTGTTTTTACTGATATTATTTAAATGCACATATTATATTTATATTCGATGGATTTTGCTTAAAATCAGAAGAAGAAAAAGCACATCAGATAAAAAAATGAACACATTATCCAAAAGTGAATATTGTTGCTGCTCCTACCTCGATCGCCTCTTAATCCGACCACCGGCGCTGCTCAAGCTGCAGATGCTCTCCCTATCGGAATAGCCGGAAACGCGGCTCTGCGTCAGATTACGCAAGTTCTCGTTTGTCAACGAGGATGTCAAGTTTTTCAGATTGCTGTTGCCGACACTCTGCGGTTGGACTTCTGAATGAGCCCGAGTACTTTTCAAGTTGTACAAAGGAGCGCCGTACTTGAGCAAATTTTCAGTTTTCATTTTGCACACAAATGGCGAGGCCAACCATGGGGGGGCACAAAGAAAACCAATAACAACAAAAACTGGGTCCTCAGCGGGTCGGGACAAGCTCTAAAACTTTGTTGCAATTTGTTCTGCAATTTGACTGGCATGCAATGGATAAGCGTAAGGGGAGGAAGGCACTTGTGGTATGCACTTCCTTCCGCTTGGCGGTTATGCTTTAATTGTTTCTTTGAGCAGGCGTCAGGATGCGGTTAAGGAGCGGGCGCGACGGACCACAATGGGAAGACAGGACGACAGGACGACAGGCCGTTGAAACCCGTTGAAGTTAAACTGAAACGGCCGCATTCAGAGGTCAAAGCTTTTATAGACTCGGTATTGCAACACAGTCCCCAGACTTGATATAGGTAGGCAGGCAACGGCCCCCCAACTATGTTTATGTATATATAGTTTAGTGTGCTTTTAATGTGTTTGGTGCCAGGGCGTTCCCAGGTAGAAATTCCACAGCATAATCTTAACATTTGTGCAAATGCAATGGCTCGCAGTGGCGGCACGCCCAAGGGGCCAAGGGGCAACAATCCCAAGCGAGCTCTGTGGCCGACGCCGCTGCTCGGCAATTTCGCGTTGCGTCTGTTTGATCGATAGCTGAAATGGAAATGGACATTTGTCGCCACCAAAAATGTATTGAAAGCACGCTCAGACATTTGTGCCAATATTTGGATGTCTCATTGCTACCCTCAAGCCCTGCCCCGGTTGTTCAACTCGCCCGAAACGGGGCCAAACAACATTTCTAGCTCCACCAAAAAGAAGTGTGGATTGGTCGGATCGGCCCTACCAACAGATACCCTAAGCCCAGCCAGGAATAGCAAGCAAACTTTCTTCCTTTTGTCATTTAAGTAGAGCAATATTTGGAATAATAAGATAAAACTGGACTGGATATATAGAGAGCACATACCAAATGTAGGGGTTCCAGTACGTTTCTTAAGTCTCTCCAACAGTCAGACAGACGGACAGACGGACAGGGCTAGATCGAGTCAGTTTGTTGTCAAGAAACTATTATACCCTGTAATCTGAGATGCCTGCTTCAGAACCCATATACCCCATTTGCCCAATGCCTACACAAACAAAGCACCAAAGAGCAGTGCATATTTTTAGGGTTTCTGCGAGTGGCTCAGAAATACTCGCGAGTTGCCATTGACAGTAGCACTTGCCGCTGTCTGTTTTTCATTTTAAGTATAGTCAAAATATTGACAAGCTGGCCAAAAATAAGTTGCTAAACGCTCACGAGTTAGTGCCTTCAGCTAGATTAAAGTTAATCAATGTGTCATTAAGTGCCGACAAGGCCAAATGATTAGATCGTATTCCTCTATTATTATTGTATATATTTAATTAATTTATAAATTGCGAGAGGCCAATTGAGAATTATGGAATGTCCATTTTTCTATTCGTTCAATTAGATAAATATATGTATTATAATTTGCCTTAAAATGAGATGAACCCAAGTGGTATTGAGCACAGTAACCGCAGATGCACAGGCACATGTGGCAGCGGTTGGGCTGCCAACAATTGATCTAGAGATCGCAACAGTAACTTATGGGCAAATCACAGACATTTAATAGCTCAAATAACTCAGGCTGAGAGAGTGCCAGCTACCAGGAGGGCAACTGTGGCCCGAGCCGGAGTCGGGTCCAGCGCGCGCGCAATCAATCAATGCAATCTGTGTTATCATGAATAATTTCCTAGAGGGCATATTTGGGTCTGTAATTGTGAGTATGAGTCCGGAGCGGAGAAGCCCTTTTGCTGTTGCCCGACTACGCTTGTGTTGGCTGCATCATTATCAGCTTCTTGCGATTTAATTACCACACGACAACAATGCAAGGCCTAGAAAAAAACAAAATATATATATATATGTATTAACCCTCTAAGATAAACGCATAATTCCGTATTCCCGTCCCGATGTGAATATCTGCAAGACAATTCATAAACATAAACAGTGACTAGTGTGTGTGTGTGTGTGTGTGGCTGTAAGTGTTATCGATCGTGGTCAATGTTGTTGGCAACAGCAAATGGCCCGTACTCAAGACCTGGTCAGATCCAGGCCCAGTCCAAGTCCAAGTGGAAGCCCTCGGGGCGCTCTCAGCAATTTTCATTGCTGCCGTTGCTGCCGTTGTCGTGGCCATGGCTCTGGCTCTGGCTCTGCTGTGGCTGTGTCTGTGTCTGTGGCTTTGTATGTTGTGCTCTGATCGTTGTCGCGATCTGCTGCCTTGGCGGACTCTGGCTGTGAGTTGCTCTGATTCTGCGTCCAAGCCAAGCCAACAATGTCGACGTCGTCGCTGCTGCAGCTATTTACAACACTGCATTCCTGCGCCGCAGTCATTCAAGAAGCCAAAGCCGATGTCAGAGCCAGCGTCAGAGCCAGAGCCGTGGTATGAACTTGTTTTATGCCACTTTAGCTTATGTATGTGTGTGTGTGTGTGTGTGTGTGTGTGCGGTTGAGCGCGCGCTCCTTCAACAAATGCTGCCCAAGCTGCCTGCCTTATAAATGCTGTAATAAGCCCACAACAACAACAACGTCAACAACAACAAAAATAACAACAACAACAACAACAGCGAATGTGCGCTCGAAACATGTTTATGAAAAGAAAGAAATTCCATTGCAAACAAAAGAGGCAAAGCGAGCGACTGATCGGTGGGAGAGGCGTTCACTGCGCATGCTCACATGTAATCCAACTCGCAGAGCACACATCACACACACACACACACACATGCACACACACTCAGACACATTTACATATTGATTTGTGCTCTCTTTTCCAACTGTTGCCATTCCATTGTATTTGTTGGCACTGAGCACTATAACAATATTTATACCTTTATCTTTTTACACACACTTATATGATCAGTTACTCTGTTATTCTCTGCTGCCCACTTGGTCTCTGTCTCTCTCGCTCACTTTCGAATAACTGATTCTCTTTGATGACAGCCTGTGGGGATATTTATTAATGCCATGGTGAAATGGCATGGCCAACTGAGTGCCCACCTCAAACGGGTGGCCATTGCAAAAGTAGCACAGAATTTTCACCAGACGATCCCAGTCGAGGCAGCAGCATCTATGGCAAATATCTGACTTACTGAAAGCATAAATAAAATAACAATGAATCCAACTATTTATGTGCAATTTTCTCATGAATTAGACTAGCAATAGTAAAACATTAACTGAACCGGAGAGGGTACATCTTGCATCTCAACAATGCAAGAGTTGTCTCAAAATAAACAAAGCTGTTTAATGAGAGAGTCAAGATAGACCTATCCTAAACATGTAGCCAACATTTGCGGTCACACCCACCGCGGCCCACAAAATTACAAAAATCGATTCATCCTGCAGTCACCGTTTGAAAGTCACTGGTCACAGTTTTTGAGTCCAAAAGCAATGCGCAATAAGACTCGTTTCATACATTATTATTATTACTATTATTTATCTGAATCCTTGTTTTAAATTAATGAATATAAAATATATAATAATTATATTCGGTTTTTAAAAAAACATTTCAATGCCGCAAGCTGGACAACAAACTTTTGTCTTTGGTTTTTACTGGCAACGCCGGCCAACAAAGAGCGCAAATCTCTTTATCTCTGCTGTGCTCACTTACTCTCTCTCTCTCTGATCGCATACGCAAAGAGCAGCCACTTGCGCACACACATACACACCATGTTCACCATGGCCGCCGCTGAAAGAGGGACGCGCTGGCCGCACGCTCAGTTGCCATTTACCTGTTGACGTGCGCTGTAATTCGTCCAGTGTCGTTGCGGATGAAACTGAATCTTGAGGCGCCGCATTACGTTGCGTGCCTGGCCTGCGCGTGTGTGTGAGTGAGTGTATTGTAGTGTGTCCGTGTAGTGGTGTGCTGGTGCTCAAAGCAAAGGCAGCAAAAAAAAAAAAAAAGAAAACAAAAAAGTTAACATAAAGCAAAGTAAAAGAGCCACAGTGAAAGATGCGAGCACACACACACACACACGAGCCCAACTTGCAATAAAAATAAAGTAGAGAAAAGTTGTGTGAAATTGAATAGCAAAAGGAAATTAAAACACATGCACATGCACATGTATGTATGTATGCGTACGCACATATAAAACGGAATTCAATGGAGCCGCAAAAACTGCCAAATAATGAAAAGATGTGCGATGCATAAATGAAAACTAAACGAGTGACGTGTATAAAAAAGGTAGCAACTGCTATTTATTAAATTGCAATTCAAATTCAGGTTTTCTCTCTTACTCTGTGTGCCTCTACCAATCTTCGTTCTCTTTGTCTTCATCTTTTATGTTTTTGTGTGGCTTCAGTTAACGCAAAAAATGCTTAAGCTATTTTTCTTGTGTGTGTGTAAAATTGTTAAGATATAATTGTGGCCACACGGATATCCTAGACTTGCCTTAACTTGCTAAATTATTACGCATCTGCCCCAAAGCAGTTGCAATGCGCTGCGACTGTGCAACATTCTCAAACCAGTTGCAAACTTGTCACATTAAAATCACACCTTCGAAGAAGTATTTATTGTTGTTGTTGCTGTTGTTGTCGTTTTCTATATATGCACCACTTTGCCCATAACTCGTTCGCGCTCTCACAGATACACACACACAGGTACACCCTCTCTCTGGCCGCCTGGCAATTTCGCATGCAAATTTTACGTAAAGGAAGTCAGACAGCCTCAGTATGTGCTGCTGCAGCAACTGGTTGATCTGCATAGACGCCCATTATAAGTAACAGGCTGCATGCTGTATTTTTTTGTTATTTTTATTTTTTTGCTTTCATAACTGGTACACACACACACACACACACACATTCACGAAATGTGTTATAAACATTAAGACAGCCAGCAATGCTAGTTGGTTTCTCATTAGCGGCCATTTATTCAGCCAGACATAGGATATGATTATTGCCATTTAATATCATTTTATAATACGCATTGGCCATCTGATCAGAACATAAATTACATCCCAATTGGCCCGTCTTTTCGCTTACCAGCAAAATGCAAATGCTCGAGTATTTACTATATTATTAGCTATGTATATGTTTATAAGTATGCACTGTGGAGAATGTTGCCTAGATTTTATTTTATTCTAGAATTTGTAAACTTTGAAAATCTGAAATTGCCTACATTTGATACCACAAGATAGGTTTAGATAGGTTTTACAACGGATTAAAGCAAAAATATTGTATTATTCCATTTTTAATTAAAACTTTTTATGAGTAAAGTTTCTTACACAAACTCTTAATGACTCTCTGATTAACAGAAGTTATTTCAAGTAATGGACCATTTCATAGTTTAGTTCGCTTTAATAATTGTAAATATTTATAAAAATTTTCACTTAATTGAAGTTTATTTTAACTTGTGTATTCAATTGGATAGTTTCTCCGTTTCAAAACCGAAGACAATATTCAAATTTTGGTTTCGTTTCGGAGCACCAACATTCTTTTTGACTGTGCGTTAATGTGCGTTTGTATTTGCGCACCCCATGCTGTGCCATATGGCACATGTGTGTGTGTGTGTGTGTGTGCCAAATGTTTTCAGTTTCAACGCGGAAAACATATGGCAATTATTTAGTGTGCTGCCCGCTGCAAAAGGTTAAATGTTAATAAATTGTTAATTTGATATCTGTCAATGATTTGACATAACTTTATGACATTTGGGCAAAGCACTTTCCATGCCAAACGTCATTATATCAATATAGACCCGTCATCTGCATCAGCAACAACAACAACAACAACAACAGGGAGCAAGTGCCTGCGCTCTGTTGCCATTTGGCAGCTTTCCAAATGTGCCTGGCTAAACAAAAGACTTAGACGACAAACTTGATCTGCTCACAAAAAATATCATAGGCCAAAGATTTGGCCGCCTGGCGGGAGCCAGCCATTTTATGCATTTACCAACAATTTAAAGTATTTAAAAAAAATGTCAACATATGCGCATTGCAATGACAAGCCAGCCAGCCAGGCAGCCAGGCAGCCAGCAGCCGACCAGCCAGTCCGTTCCAGTCCAGTCAGCCATGGCCCGCAGCCTCAATCAAAGCAATGCCTCCCCCACCGTGCTCCGCTCGTACGGGCTATCCAAGCCAAAAAGCTTTCAAGCCAAAAGCAGCCGACAACATCGACAAACACGCCGGCACTGACATGGAAAAGCCGCGCGTCGATTTTATGAGATTTTCAACAATCTTTCAAACATTTCTGTTGAGCCTGATAACTATGCCATCTACTTTGCAAATTGATGTGTGTCCAATTAATATAATGAGCTAACGTTTTATTTAGTATTTAAGTACTAATCTTAAAAGCGATTAAAGCTTGTGCCATCTTTTCTCTGGTTATTAAAGGGCTTCAAATATTCAAAGAGTTACAGAGTAAAATAAAAATATTTCTATATATTATACTATTTAAGTGCAAGCCATGACTTTACAGGCAAATTGTTATCTTTGTAGTATTATAATATATAATAATAATATTTTTCATTAAATCTTGAAAAATGCATCAATATGAAAAGGGATATAGAATGCCATAGTTGTATTTGTTTCAATCTTTAAAATCTTTACTCACAGTCTCAATCGATTAAATCCAGGCTTACTTTCATTAAACACATGTATATACCGATAATTCTTGGTTAATTGGCTATTTTTTGAGCCTTAAATCTCTAATTAGTTCTTATGCCGAACCAAAACTTAATTTGTAAGAAAACTGGCTTCAAATAGAAGGTCACTTGAAGGTCATCCATTAGCGGGAATTTTGTACATATGCAAAAGTATTTTCAGTTGTAAATTGAATTGTTTAATAGAAAGCTTTGAAAGTTTATAGCAAATATAGGCTGGAATAAAACCTGGTAGAAGTGGTTAATAGAAGGGGGAATTGATTGGAACCGTGAAAATTGTATCTTGAATTTGCAGCCCTGATTTAATTAGATAATGAATCCCTGTCAACGAAATGTTGTATGTTTTTTTTAATTTCAGAATTCATTTTTATAAAAATTAACTTGTTCAGTTTTTTTTTATACATATTCTGTAATTTATTTTATATTTTATTCGAAAAAATAAATAACGCTTACTTATAACGGATAGAGTAGCATGCTCTTCGTTGTGAGCCATTTGTTGTATTGACTTTATTGTCTACAATTTTTGTTGTATGCCTTTTTTCTATACATAAAATATATGATTTCATAGCGCTTGCAACGGCGCAATAGGCAATACTCAAATGCAATGCGATGTATTTTTTACAATTTTTGTTGCCAGCATTGGCCAGAGACGAAGTCTGAGATGGCCTGAGCAGCGACAGAGCCATAACCACAGCCAGAGCTACAGCCAGAGCCAGAGCCCAGAGAGTTGCAGTGCAGTTTTGCAGCTCTCACGGCCACAAGCGACAGTTTTGTATTAGAAACGGCAACTTGTAGCTGCAGCTAGTTACGGGCTTGATGACTACTGAGCTGTCGTTGGTGGGAGAGCGGGCGACGGCAAACGGACGCCGGTTGACGGGCGACGAGCGGCTGGCGGCTGGCGGCTGGCGGGTAGCGAAGGTAGCTGGAATGTTGTCGTTGCTAGTTGCCAATGTTGCCAAGTGACTGACATAGTTGTTATTGTTGTTGTTGTTGTTGTTGTTGTTGTTGTTGTATGCTTTTGTAACAGCAGTATTTGTTGTTCTGGTTCTGGGCAACTGCCGCCTGAACTTTAAGTTTTAATTTGTAGAAACACACAATTTATGTGTGGCATATTAGAAAACAGAGTGTTACGTGAAAAGTCACCCTATGCGGGCGTTGTTGCATGCGGGCAACCAGCAGGAGATACAAAGATACAGATAACCTGTTGCCGTTGCTGCCTCTCAGCATCGAAATCTCTGTTGCATGTGTATGTGTGTGAAGCAGAAATCAGACAAAACGGTTCTTTACATTCGTTTTTTATACCCTGAACCCGTTGAAAACGGATGAAAGGGGTATATTGCTTATGGCAAACGTATGCAACATGCAACAGAAAGCATTCTCTGATTTTTCATCGCAACGTTTAGTTTTACAGCTAACTTGAAAATTCTAGAAGCTAGATAACCCAAACATAGCATGTAAGTTCTCGTATTGTATACACACACGAGCGGGTATTGCCCGGCCTTGCCCGTGGAACTCTTTACTTTTAGATATTACCCTTTCACTAAGTAAGCAATCGTCTAGCCAATCTTCTGTAGTAAACTTCTACTTAAAGATATGTTTTAAATGAATCGATCGAAAAAAGATTCAAGTGTCTTAACGCTTTCCGCCTATGTCTTGTATTGAGAATCTTGAGGCTGAAGAATAAACTTTAATTTAATAAACCCTTGACCCCCATTTGCCACCCAAGAATCCGATCGAAAAAGTTTCACACAAACGTTTTTTGCGACATTTCTACACATGCAGGTGGAAATTCCTACAACCCTTCTTCAATTCCTACAACCAATCTTCAATTTTTATACAGATCGGAAGACAAAAAGAACGAAATCATTTAAGAATGCATTTTCCAAGCATGGTAACGAGAAGAAGAAGCCAAGCCACTTGTAGCTTGTGTTCATGTGAGTGCTGAGGTATCTCCTGGTCGACTTACCTGGCTTTCTTGTTTTATGTGTCTTTGCTCTTCACTTGCTCATCAGGCTGGCGGCTTCTGCTTGTTTCTTACTTTCTTTCGCTCTGCCGCGCTTTAATGAAATGTAATTTGAAAAATTGCGCGCGGCAAATTGTTGGCTTGTTGAAGTCAGCTCGTTGTCGTCATCGTTAGAATTTCAAATATTTTGTCTTAATTAAAATTTTAGTGTCAGGCGATCTCTCTCTCTCTCTCTCTCTCTCTCTCGCTGTCTCTTCCTCTCTTTCAGTCTGTCTCTTTATATGTCTAACTGCTTCGCATGCTGTGCAAAAGTCGGGCAAATCTTTTAAATAAATTAGCGCTGTCGTTTCGTTCGTCAAGCATTTGTCGCGTTTGCATTTAGTCGACATTTTTATTGGATTAAGTTTGGCCTGGATTTATGCGCTGTCTTGGATTAGATGCGCCATCATTCACGTCCGCAGTTCTTGTGGTTGTTGTTGTTGCTTTTGCTGTCGCACAGCATGTAATTTGCGGTAAGTCTGCTTCTTGTTGTTTCTTTTGGGCTTGTTGTGATTTATTTTGTTTTGTTGGACATTACATTTTGGGTTAAGTGGCGTTTATGCACAGTTGACTGTTGCGCCTGTCGCTTTGTTGGAAATTTAGGTCATTAAACAAAAGACTTAAGCAACGAACTGGTTCGTCTGCTTTGACTTTGCATTGGAATTTGAATTATTCCCCCAGCAAATAGCAGCAAACAAGACAGCAGCAAAGACCCACAGAGAGAGAGAGAGAGAGAGATAGCGAGATTTTTGTAACTATTTTCCATTGATTAATGACAGGTAAATTTCATCCATTGGTCTCGCGATGCTGCGTGTAAGGGAGGAAACCATTGCGAGGCACAAATGCTTGCAAAGGGCATTCGCCCCATGGTCTTCACGGTTCATTATATAAGCGTCGGTTTAATTAGTTGGGCTAAAGATTTTTTTTGCATATTTTTAATGAATCTGCCTGCCGACACAAAGTGAAATTCAAATCGAGATAATGATAAAAATGCTACAGAATCATTAAAGAAATATTCTCAATTGGTGGTCAAAAGTGGGGTATTACAAATCATAATGATCCCGAGAGAAAGTTGACTGTTTTTCAGATTGTTTAGATTTCGTATAAATCAAATCAAATCAAGCTAAAACAGAATTGTGATTGACACATAATTCGACACGAAGGTATTAATTATTTAATTATTACAAATAATAAACATAAGAATATTTTTATACCTATAAATATTCATTTACTATATAAATAGAATCTACTATACACACTTTCTTCTCTTTCTTCTCTGCAACTCGTTCAGACTTTCTCAGACCTGCTTCTAATGAGCTATACACAGGCAATCAGCTCCAAATTGTTGTGTCCGTCTATAAATCAATCGAAATAAACAATTTCCATAATTTGTAAGTTCATTTCACACATTCCAAAATCCGCTTCGAGCCCCGTTTCGCACTCTTTCCAGACGTTAACTGTGTCAAAGTCTCGACAACTTTCAATAATTTGTATGCCCATTTACATAAAGCCGCCGCAGAGTTCGTTCAAGCAAAATGACAAGCCAAGGAACTTACATATATTTACCATATATTTCACTCACAAATATACAAAATAAACAAAATATATATGAAGACTTATGTTAATATCTAAGTATTCATAATATTCCATGAAATGCTGTATTAACTCCTTACCATGATTTGTTGGTAGCTTCTTTATGTATCTAAACATTTTCATTTAACAAAATAAATATAATAAACTAAAATGACTTAGAGGCAAATTTATAATTAAAACAAATTGCATTCTCTGCGAGACATTTTAGAAAATAGCTAAAAGAGCGACTCAGCAGCTGCACCCACTTTTTGTTTGGCTGCAAGAAATATTTCTTGTTTCTCAAAAACTTGTCAGCGCCACCCACTTTCTGTCCACTTTAGATGTCTGTGTGTGTGTTGGTATGTGTGTGTGTGTGTGTGTATATGTAGGAGTCCATTTGCCTGGCAATTATCGGGCGGGGCGCTGACAGAGCCGCAAAGCGGCAACTGCAATATTTTGCTAAATCAAAATTGACACTATGCAAAAAGGCAACCCACGGAGCGCAAATTGCAACACGGTAGCCACACACACACACACACACACACACACACACACACACACAGATACTCATGCACACACAAATACTCTATCACACACACACACTCACACACTCGTCCACATAGTTGATTGTCGGGCCAGACTGGGGCCAGGCGCTCAGCGTGCCAAGCCATAGAGGCCAAAAGGTGCCCCTAGCCGGGCTCCATTGGCATGTGTGCTGTTGTTGTAATTGTAATTGTTGTTGTTGCTGTTATTGTTGTTTTGTGGCGCCAAGTAATTTCTGTGTTAGCGTTAGATTTCAGCCATGTGCAGGCAACGAACAACACACACAAACAGCAAGCACAGCAGTTATTAGATTTTATACACCGCACAGTGGGGCAGATGTATATCAAATATCATGTCAATTATACAGAAAGTATATAACGTGTTAAAGACCTATTAAATGTGTATCAATTATGGGAAATTACTCAATCAATCTCCATCTATCTCAAACGTTTTTTATCTTATTATTTCAAATCCTAGCTAAAGTCGAAATCTTATTTAATATTAATAAATAAATTAATTAAAACATAAATTGACAAAATTAAAAAATTACAATATTTAGTTAGCCTTTGTTTTGTGAATGAATTATTATACGGTAATTAGTTACACGAATTGGCCACACAAATCCGAATAGCTTTGAACCACTGTGAAGTGGTGTCAGCATAAATGTGAATCACACTGGTTGCAGCACCAACGTGGCCCCCACCGTGGTGACATTTGTTCATTAAGCATATTAAATAATTAGTGCTTGTTGTTGTCATATTTTATGTGCTTGCTGCTCGTTGAGCCCGCCGAGAGGCTTGGCATCTGAGGACCAGTCTACAATGGCCAACTCAAGTGTTGGCCTCTTGGCTTCGGAAAAATATGCGGCCTAATTGAATAGCCAGCGTCTAGCCCCGCTCATAAGGTGATCCATACTTTACAAAAAGAGAACAAAGCGCATGCCTAATTTATAAGTGCACCCAACTTTGAAACTTATATGTATATTTCGTTCAAGAAATATTTTCAAAGTTGGCAAAAAATGAGTAATTTTTAATAAAATAAATACAGATCTGTACATAAACTTTTCTATAACTCGATTTGATGCTATGAAAAATTGTATAAGTACTGATAGTTAATTAAACTTTAATAATATTTTAATTGTTTGCGCACATCTATCAGAAGTTCAATAAACATACTTCATACATCATCATCATGATCAGTATGATATTCATCATGAAGATCGTAGAATGATTATTTAAAGACTAGTTTGATTTACGCACTGTCAAAGCTAACAAATAGTTTCGCAGAGAAAATCAAAGTAAAGAGTAAAAGTTGAACATGTGTAAGCGATAGCCCCTTAAAGCAATGAATAAATATGTATCTTGTGGCTGTAAGTGACAAATAACAAATGTAAATTTATGCAAATTGTATTTTGTGTGTTGGCCAATAGGCTATTTGACACTTTTGTACTCACGCAACTGATTTGGTTATTAATTATTTCTGGTGCCAACTATTTTTGAATTATGGTAAGCAAATACCAAGAAGATCTCTCGGCTTCGAGTCAACTGGCTGTCGTGGCGGCGGCTGTGCCTCTGGGCCTTTTCCTTGGCTCTATTGAATACGTTTTTTCTTTTTTTTTTTTTTTTTGCTTTGAACCAGTTGAGCGACATTCCATTTGAGGCGCGACAGGCGGCGTCCATTTGGGGGAGATGCTAAGATTAATCAGCTGCCATAAGCCAAATGACAAGACATATTTTTGTATTTTTTTTTATTTTTATTTTTGTTGGTTTTTTTTTTTTTGGAATTGTTTCGAATGCTCAGCTGCTTTGGCCTTTCGAATGCGGCCCAGTGTTATTATTGTTATAATGTTTATTTATGGCAAAGCTGGAAAAAAAAAATTAATTTCAAATTTGATTACAATAAAAATAAAGCCACACACACACCTCAGATCCGAGATCGAGCCACTTGTAAGCAGCATTTGATTTACGCGTCCCAAAGTGTGCCCAAAACAATCTCTCTAGGTAGGCAAATGAAAGACCCATCACAGTTCCCGCAGCTCTCCAGGTGTGTGTGTGTGTGTGTGTGTGTGTGCCGTGACGGCCCAACCCAAAATGCCAACCATAGTCCACAGCAAGAATGAATTCAAATAAATTTATTGTTTTCTATTTAGATATTTGTCTCTATGTAGGCAAATTATGCAAAGCTGCCTCTAAACAAATATTATAGAGACAAGCGGGACTAAAGTGGCGCATGGTCATGTTTATGGCTGCTCCCTGGTTCTATTTGCCGAATTGGGTTACTTTCAACATCATTTTTTAAGGTCTTAGGTTACACCAACACACACATTGCCAGCAGCAGCCGTCTTTCAGGCCAGGCCCAGCTGCAGATGGCCACGGACTAAGAGTAGAACAGCCCACGCCTGGCCTGTGATTAGGTTTCCAATGTTCCGAGCGACACTTCAAACTGGTTTTTTGCCAAACCAAAAACAAAATAAATAAATAAAATAAATAGTAGTATATTTAAGCTGCGGCCAATGAATGGAGCTCGAGTCGCGAGGAAGCGAAATATGACAGCATACGTGTGTCTGAAAAAGAAACCAACATAAAAAAACCTAAATTGAAGAAAAAAAAAAACAAGAAGATTAAAAAGCCTTGGCTAAAAGACCAATATTCCATAGAAACACTTATTTTGAGATTTTGCATATAAGATTTAGCCAAGTTTGGTCAAGATATCTTTTTATGAAAAAAATTAAATTTCGAATAACATTTTCTATATATTTATGCGATACAGTTCTTCAATCAAGACAGTTTGCCTGGAAACAGTTCAGTCGGATTTGCATAGTTATTTTGACTGTAATTCTGATCCCTAACATTTACACTTTATGGGATCGGAGACTTCTTCTGTGCGTTACACATTTCAAGGCAAAACTATCTACAAAATAGTACACAAAAGATCTCAACTGTATAATTTATAGAAGGCGTGGGCGTGTTGCTTATTAATTGTTAAAATGTTAACAATGTCAGCCAAATAAATATAAGACTGGCGCCGTATTTAAATAGCTAATCATGTTGGCCACATCTCTGCTCTCTGCAGTGGGCTCAACACAGCTTTAAGCTAGCAACATAAATTGGCTAGAATTTAGCTTTGAATTATCTTAAAGGTCAAATCCACTCGATCCACTCGAAGGTGTGGCACGCAGTGAGAAAAAAATATATTTGCAAATAGGTGGGCACATACGCATACAAAGTATGTCTCTAATAATTGGCAGCCGGAGTCGTTGGAAACCTACTTTGAACTGCCCACACAGCCGGCGCACAGTCCATTCCCATGGCCAATGAAGCCAACGACTGGCGAGGCTCAGGCTAAATATAATTTCTATATACTTCTATTATTATTTATTTTACTTGGCTTTTATGACTATCAATGACCTAAATTCCATTGCTCGATTGCGCATCCACACAAATACTTCGAGTATAACATGAATATTGTCAATTTTACAGCACTTAAATTCATATAGACGTATATGGCAAGAGTTCCGGAAGCTCTCTGAATTACTAAATATTTTTAAGCTCTACAACTTAAAAAAAAATGTTATGTTCAATTGTGCACAGAGTCAGTCAGTCAGTGAGTATGTCAGTACTTCAGTCAATCAATAAGTCAGTACGTCAGTCAGTCAGTTAGTCAATCATTTAGTCAGCTGAGCTAGTCAATCAGTCAGTCAGTCAGCTAAGCTAGTCAATCAGTTAGTCAGTCAGTACGCAGTAAAGTCAGTCAGCCAGTCCGTCAATCAATCAATCAGTCAGCCATTCAATAAGTAGGTCAGTCAGTAAGAAGTAAATTCAGACAGCAAGTCAGTTAGTCAGTCAATCAGTCAGTCAGTCACTCAGTCAATCAGTCAGTTAGTCAGGCAGTCAATCAGTTAGTCAGTCAGTACGCAGTAAAGTCAGTCGGCCAGTCCGTCAATCAATCAATCAGTAAAAAGTGAATTCAGTCAGCAAGTCAGTCCAGTCAGCCAGTTAGTCAGTTAGTCAGTCAATCAGTCAGTCAGCCAGTCAATCAGTCCGTGCGTCACGTAGTCAGCAGATAGGTTCGATTCAAGTTTTGTTTTAGACCTGGTTCAAAGTAAAAATCAATTGTCAGAACCGGTTGACATCCTTGGTCCTCATTACAGATGCGTTCATAAAATACAAATGTTTATTTTCCTAATGCAGCTTAAATAACAATATTAAAATAATTAAGAACGTGTTATTCATCTTCGTTTTTGCAGAATTCTGGCCCCAAAGCGAAGGTCGCTGTATAAAAGACAATAAATAATACAAAACGTGCCGAAAAACAAAAATATGTCACACAAGACGAGCACACGACGTGCCACAGATCTGGAGTGTCCGCTGGCGTCGCTAGGGCGAACCAGCAATGGGGTGCGGGATCAGCTGGCGGCAGCCCACTACCATCATCCGCATCCGTTGAGCTCCAGTCCGTTAGACCCGCAAGCCTATAAGATGTCGCGCAAATCACCAAATCTGGGCCACAATGTTAACGACACCGTCGCCAACGGGGAGCTCTATCCATTAGCCTCTCGCAGCTCCACGCCGCACAGCGACCAGCAGACGCCATCGTCAACGGCCACCACGGCCGCTGTGCTGCACATGGTGCAGCAGAAGGCGGCCACATTCGAGCTGCGTGGCCGGCACACGCGGCATGATCAGTCCAACTATGGCGCACACTCCACCGCGTCTGTGGGCCGCCATGCGCAAGCAAAGAAATCCCCGGAACTGCAGACAATGCCTGCACCGGCAACCAGAACCAATGCTCCTGTGCCGCAGCCGCGCAACTTTCTTACACTGGACTGGCTGCATGGCAATAGCGCGGACACCGAAGACTCCAGCGACAATAACGCTGGAGGCGCTGCCAGCGCCGGTAGAAGACGTGGACAAGGCCAAGGCGGACGCTGCAGTGTGCCCACGGTGCTGGGCAATGGCAACAGTGCCCAGTATCTGCTGGACAAGAAGATGGAGTCTCTGTATCTGGGCAATGCGCTGCGTGCCCTGCCGTTGGGCGCCGAAGCCAGCCAGTACCAAAACGAGCGTTACTACTTGGAGGACTACAGCAGCGGGAGCGGCAACGAGCGATTGCCAGGTGAGTACAGATGGAGACATACGAATGCCAATAGCCAAACTGTCGGTTACAAAATTTGACCTTGCTTTATAGGGTATTACAATTGTGTTATTGGTATTTATTATTTAAGACCCTTTCAATAGATATAACTTTGTCATGTAATGTGTTATACGAACGAGTCAAAGAGTTATTACATGGTTTGCATGATAAAGCCTCAACATTAGACATAGGGTATTATACAATAAGGACATATAGGAAGTCTCGTCATATTTTTGCAAGGGTATTTAATATGGCAATGCTACCGCTTCTTATCCTTTTCAAATTACTGTTACAAAAGGTATTTTAGAAAATTAGTACTCTGTCTTTGCTTGGCTGCAAGCGAAAGAAATATTCTTACAAAGTTCTAATTCTCTTCATTTATCTTTATAGAACGTCTGCATCATCCGCGTAACTCCAGTCCCAGTGAGACGAGTGGCTCGGATCGTTATTTGCTAAATCGCAGCACCAACTCGCCCGCCAATGCCTTCCAGCTGGACCATCACCACACCAAAGTCCAAAGTCTATCCGATGGCCTGTGCAATATGGGTCGTTTTTCACCTAGCCTGGACCAAGGATATGCCACGCTGGTGTCGCCTTCGCCCACTGGCCATCATCCGAGCAGCACGGGTGGCATTGTTGTGTGCAGCAATCCCAAGAATAGCAGCCCTAGCGTGGTCAGCGGAGGTGTCATTACCAGCAGCACTCCCACAACAACTCCGCGGCGTGGATTGACCAGCAGCAGCAGCGGCACGGTCAATGGCACAGCCATTGGGCCGCCACCCTGGAACCGTAAGGGTCCCTATCGCTGCGGGCCCTACTTTGACCGCCTGCCCGATGAGGCCGTTGTACGCATTTTCAGCTGGCTGGATAGCTGCGAGCTGTGCAATGTGGCACGCGTCTGTCGACGATTCGAGCAGCTCGCCTGGCGTCCGGTACTCTGGAAGTGCATCACGCTGCGCGGTGAGCATTTGAATGGTGACAAGACGCTGAAGATGATCTTCCGCCAGCTGTGCGGACAGAGCTGCAATGGCGCCTGCCCGGAGGTGGAACGCGTTATGCTCGCCGATGGCTGTCGCATTTCAGACAAAGGTCTGCAGTTGCTCACGCGTCGCTGTCCCGAACTGACGCATCTGCAGCTGCAGACCTGCGAGGGCGTGTCCAATCAGGCGCTGGTCGAGGCGCTCACCAAGTGTAGCAATCTACAGCATCTAGATGTGACGGGTGAGTTGGAGCTTATAAAATATAATTCAATTTTGAATGCGACAGATATTCTTACCCCCAACGCACACAGGCTGTAGTCAGGTGAGCAGCATAAGTCCGAATCCGCATATGGAACCGCCGCGTCGTCTACTGCTGCAATATCTGGACCTGACCGATTGCATGGCCATCGATGACATGGGCCTCAAAATTGTGGTCAAAAATTGTCCACAGCTGGTGTATTTGTATCTGCGCCGCTGCATTCAAATTACAGGTAACACATTGTGATTGCCAGAAACTTAATTGAATGATATAACAATTCATTAATTCCATGATGCAGATGCGGGTCTGAAGTTTGTGCCCAGCTTTTGTGTTTCGCTAAAGGAGCTAAGCGTTTCGGACTGCGTCAACATCACGGACTTTGGCCTGTACGAGCTGGCCAAGCTGGGCGCCGCCTTGCGCTATCTATCTGTGGCCAAATGCGAGAGAGTCTCTGATGCGGGCCTGAAGGTCATTGCACGCCGCTGCTACAAGTTGCGCTATTTGAATGCGCGCGGCTGCGAGGCAGTCAGCGATGATTCCATCACAGTGCTGGCACGCTCCTGCCCCCGCTTGCGCGCCCTCGACATTGGCAAGTGCGATGTGAGCGATGCGGGTCTGCGCGCGCTCGCCGAGAGTTGCCCGAACCTGAAAAAGCTCAGCCTACGCAATTGTGATATGATTACGGACCGTGGCGTACAATGCATAGCCTATTACTGTCGCGGCCTGCAGCAGCTTAACATACAGGACTGCCAGATATCCATCGAGGGCTATCGGGCGGTCAAGAAGTACTGCAAGCGCTGCATCATTGAGCATACCAATCCAGGTTTCTGTTGAGGGATCCCAAGCTGAAGCTGGTACACGTTAAAGCAAACGAGGCAGGCCATATGAGCAAAGATGTTCTAAACAAAATATATACATGCACACACACACACACACACACACACAAAATGTTAATTGTTAGTTGTAGTTGTTATTTTGTAAATACATACTTAAGCGGCTGCTGTATATATGGCTGGAGAGGATTAGAATAGGCCATAGAGCATTTTTAGCTAGCATTTAAGTAGCGCGGCTTTTAGACTAATTCTTGCATAATAAATTATTTCATATAACCCCCTAATTATCCAGATAACTATACATATTGGGCATCATTTTTGGCACATGCTGCAGTATAAAACGAGGACGCACGTCTAGCATCTTGCGATAATTCTTGTTCGTCGTGGCAATAGTGGCCTTCACATCGAAACCGTGATTGGTGGGCTCCAGCCAGTGCCTGCGCATGATGACGGGTTTGATGCGGAACTTGGAGGATTGGGATTTTTGCACATATTTGATTATGGACTGCAAATCATGGATATCACTGATGACGTGCAGCGTCTTTTTATTGAGCCGATCCAGTCCACGCTCTTGTCTCTTTAGCCGTTTGATGTCCTTTCCGTGCCAATACCACAGCCAATCGACATGGAGACCTGCGGAGCTACCAGAGTTTTTGGGCAGCTTTACCAACAACTCCATCAGCCTGATGCGATTCAATAGCGAACTGGAAGGAAGTTGCATTTTCATTTTGCGTAGGCTTTCCTTTTTTTGGGGAGTCAGCTTTAGTTTTTTTGAGTGCAACAGTTTGTCCACTAGATGGCGCAAATGATCCATCGCTTCAATTTTCTCAGCATACTTTTGACCATCCTGTGCAATGTTGAGCTTTATGTCTGCGTGTCTGATCAATAACCGATGGATCTGGTGGCTTAAGTTCGTCGCTTTCACCTGCCCAAGATGTTGTTGTTGGACAAGCTTCTCGTAGTTTTTCTGCCATTTAGCCGTTTTTGGCTTAACCATTTTTATAAATTTTGAACAATTTTAATTTCATTGCAAATGTTGATCAAAAGATTTTAAATTTCCAATAACTATCGGGTATTTTTTACTATCGACGGTCCCCCACAGCTCATGAACGGTCACACTAAACATCATTGGCTAGCACCACTAACCAAAGTGCTACCCATCACACGGCATACAGCTGATTAAGCTTGCTATGCATGCCGAGTCTAGTTGGAGGTTAGGTACGTTGTATAATGACAAGCACGTAGATTTGTTTAAACTTGCTCATTAGTGTAGAGCTAAATTCACTTGCGAGATTTGACGACAAACTAGTGTAACCGTAGCAGACATGGCAAAATACATTGCTCAAATCATTGTGCTGGGTGGTCAGGCAATCGGACGCGCTTTTGCCAAGGCATTGAAGCAAGAAATAGCCGCATCGCAGGAGGCTGCCAAGCGTGCCGGTGGCGGTAGGCAAGGGGATCAGAGTGCCGAGTCGAACCTTCGTACGGGTATGTGAAGATGTTTTTAAAATAGCCGTTATCAGCAATAACGTTGTTGTATTCAGGTATGACCCTCGAGGAGGCCAAGCAAATTTTAAACGTTGAGGACCTCAAGAGCGTGGATTCCATTGTCAAAAACTATGAGCATCTATTTAACGTCAATGATCGTGCAAAAGGCGGCTCATTTTATCTGCAATCCAAAGTCTTCCGTGCCAAGGAGCGTCTGGATCAGGAGTTAAAAGCACAGGAGCAGCATCAAAACTCGAAACACGAGCAACAAGCAGAAGAAGCGCCCCAAAGCAGAGCTAGGCAGAGACGTTAAGAAACGTATTTGCTTTCTACCTCCGAAAGAATTAGCTTTAGTTTTACATTGATTAAACTAGATTCTAAGTAGAAATGCGACGTTTTGTTTTTGTTGCCTGTAAATAGATACAAACAACCATTTAGCACATTATAACAATGTTTTTAATATTGACAAGAATCAGCTGTTTGGTGTATAACAGCCCTGTCTTGTTGCTACCTCAAAGTTAACTGCGCCGAACAGCTGATGCTTGGCAGCACTGGAAGGCATACAAAGACAAGATCCAAATTAAATGCTACGTTGTTATTAAATATACGTGTTTATTTTGTTTTGTGTACAATAAGACGTGTCAAAATTGTGTTCGCTTTATTTGCGCAACCCAAGTAGCACTAAGGACGCAAAACAGCTGGCACATGCGCGAAAATACACAGAAATTCCAGCACAAAGCAAACGCTGCAATCAACCACCAGCAAAGTCAACGGCAACTGCTTTCCACCAGTGGAGGTAACATCCAAAGCATCGTTCTTGGGGCTCCGACTGACGAGAGAGCACACACCAGACAACGGTATTTGAGAAAAGAAAATTCCGCTGCTCAGTCAGTTTTCAGAGGACCTTCGACACAGGCAGCCGAAAATTCCAGTTTCGCTCGTTTAACCAGGCAGACAACAGACAAAAAAAAAAAAAAAAAAAAAAAAACAGAAAAAAGAAACTTTCTGAAGTGGTAATTTACTACGTTACGTTATTAAATTATAAAGTCGGAGGCGTGAACAAATATCGATTTAGCGCGACATTTTCAAAGTGCCAATAACAATTTTGACAGTTAACCGCAGTGTACTTAAATAGTTTCATTTATTTGCCTATTTATTGATTTTCCTCGCCTCTGGCAATTGTTTAACTTGCCCTGCAGTTAATTTTTATTGTTTTTCATTTTACAGCGTGCTAACATAATTAACTGTAAAAAAAAAGCAAAACAAATTTACATAACTTACCAGTTGAAAGTGAAACTACATTGATGCAAAAGAAAAACCTATTACAAAATTTCTGCCAAGTGTAATAAAAGTCAAGCGAAAGAAGGGGAAACAGCAGCGACGTTTGCAGCACACGACAAGAGAGTCAATTGAAGCAAGCGAGTGGCAGCCAGAGAGGAAGCGAGAAGAGAAATAGAGAGCGACCAGAAAGTAACAACACCCCACAAGCAAGCGCCCGCTTTGTGCACGTTTGCACGTTTCTGCCTTCTCAGTTTTTTTCGTCGGCATCGGCTTCGTGTGGCAATCGTATTGTGTGTACACGACGACGCCAGGCTAATCCTTTAGAGCGTACGCAGGCAAAAAGCACACAAAACACAACACAACAAAGAAGCGAAACATGTTTTCGGGTCTAACAAATCAATTCACCTCGCTGGTGGGCGCAGTCAAGGGCGGCGCTGGCGATGAGGATGTGCCCGTGCCCACAGCCGATGCTGCCGGTGGCGCTGCAACCACATCTTCAGCCGAGGTGGTGGCCGCCTCAGCGGAACAAGAAGCTGCAGCCGCTGCCAGCGGCGAGCAGGGACTCGAAGGCGATGAGGGTGCCAAAAGGTAAGTCAACTATATTTCCATCGCCTAGATTGTCGCATTTATCTCTCGCATTCTTTTTATGACCGATAAGCGTTCTGCGTGTGTGTGTTTATCTCTTGCCAGCTGCCATCCAATGCCAATATCTGTTATCTGCCGGCGGCACATACATAACCCATTGGCATTATACCTTTCGAAACGCTTCGTGCTCTGTGCCACTGCATAGACCCACGGGCGGCTCCGAAAGTTTAATGGCGTGCTAATTTGACCTTGCAATTTGTACCTTTGCTACTCCCCGCACCACTTAGCTTCCTCTTGCTTCGCCACGTTTGGATTTGGTGTCTGGATTTGACTCTCGTTTCGTGACTGCAAGCAAATAGCTGATCAATTTGTAATACATAGCATTTGGCGCAAAAAGCTGATTTATTGTTTGTTCCCACAAATTTGATGGCTCTAAACGCCAATTGGTTCTGCAGTTTAAAATACTATATTATTCATATGATGCCCTTTTAAAATGATCTAAGAATCGAACAAATTATGTCTTGAAAAGGGATACATATTTTTGTTTTCATAATCTTTTACGGTCTTCAGTGATTGCTCGGAAACTCTATTTTGGAGAAACTTTAATTCGTCAAAACTTGAATCGACATTTTCGATGCAATCAAAGCATTCAGTTTCGAAGCAAAATATTTTGTGTTCATCAACATTTATTTGCATATTACGCTTGCAACTAAATTATTCCAATTTTGCAGTTTCCTATGAATTGCATAAGCCAATGGCTTAGCAATAAGTGTAATTCAACTTTATTTCAACATGTTTATATTACTTGTGGATTTGTAGAATTGAACATAAATGTATGGAGGTCAAGTATAGAATCCGACTAAAGAAAATGTTTTTTAAGCCCTAATTCAAAACTTTATTCAAAGAATAAAAAATACGCAATAAACTTATTTTCATAAAGTTCAAAAGTTCAAGAACGTAAATCCAAACTGTTTCTATTTATTTTAAAAAAATAAGAATTTATAGATTTTTCTTATTTAAGAAAAGTCGTCAAAAGATTCATTCTTCCCATTAGTATAAGGTATTAGACTTGCATCGTTCAGTCTGTTTTTATACATATATATTTGTATGTTTATATGTTTCTTTTGTATTGATTAATTGTAGTCAAAAACATATTAACCGAAATCCACTTACCAGTTGATTAAGAATGAATTTATATTGATAAACCTTCTCGAACCTTATATGAATTATATATATTATTTCGGCCTAAATACATTGAAAATAGTAAATTGGTAACAAAACTGTATTCGAGAATATGAGAGCTGCAGACTTTTAAAATGAAACTTGCGTCCTTCTAGAGCACTATTATTTTATATTTTTAATTATGATTATCTCTACCTGTATTTGTTATATCCCGGAACTAATAAGAATTAATTATCTAGGGCACCGGGTTTTTCACTATTCGGAAGAGACCCTTCGTTTCCGCACGAAATAGTAAATAGGCATATTTACTAAAAAATAACTATTTTCCATGGCATTTATATGCACTTTAAATTTCATTGAGTAGTTCTTTATCATTGCACTTAGAATTGGGCTGAGGAAGAGGAACACACTCTCTCCATAAAGTGTTTTCTTGAGGCTACTGTGTTCTTTTTTTTATTGTGTGAATAAATATGTACAGAAGAGAGTTCGAAGCTCTGTTCAGTTGGGCACTCCCGACTGAAGCGCTTTTACTTGTTTTTAATTAATTTTATATAAGAAAAGACAACTTAAGCCCAACTGACGGCATCTTAATGCCACAAGTTGCTACCTAATCCTACACGCAATCGACAGTCAACCGATTGGAGGTTTTTGCACAACGCAATGAATTTCCCGACACGCCTGTCGACAATGCTCAACATCAAATGCCATTTTTCACCTAATTTAGCACATTAATATTTAATTGTGTTTGTGTGTGTGTGTGTGTGTGTGTAGTCAATTCAGTGCACGTTCTGCCAGCAGCCTTTGCCAGCTGCCAACAGCTGCTGCCAGACTTTGAAGTGCTCCTCTTGCCTGTACCCAACTCGGTTATTGCCTGTTGTTGTTGTTGCCATTCTCAGTCAACTGGCATTGACAAGTTGGGCGAGTGTCGCGGGCATCGTATCCGTTTCCGCTTTTGTTTCGCTACCCAAACATTGCACGTGTGTCAATGTACACATGCATAACCACAAAATGTTGAGTCATACTTAGTTCCACCCACACGCACGTTGCTGCTGTTGCCATTTCCACTCGGTCTTTTTGGCCAGTGTAGTCGCAAAAAAGAAAAAGGCTGTCATCAATGTCAGAGATATTTGCTCCATACTGAGCAAAACCGCAGCAGAACAGGATTCTGGTGGTTGTTTTCCAGTTTCCAGTTGACTTTTGCATGTTTCACAGATCGATACCAAAGAGAGAGCGGCGGCACCCCCAGAGCGGGATAGAGCGAGAGAGGAGTTAGTGATTGGGTCGCTCTCCCTCTCTCTCTCTCTCTCTCTTGCTCTGTTGCGTCTGCAAAACAACCAAATGTGCACATGTGATATGCCCACACCAATAGAGGAACAGAGGACGCTATCGTCGCCCTCTGCTGCTCAGAGCCGTTGTTGTTTTCCTTTTGCCAGCCTATTTAATAATTGTGCATTCCGTTAACGTGGCTTGGCATTAGTGAATCAAGCGCCTTCTCCAGAAAACGGCAATCAACGTTAAATCTCTATAATTTTCGTTGAATTAATTTATTTAATTTTGCCTGCCATGCATAAATGTTGCTCATTAAACTGACAAATGTAAGCCCGAAAATATTAACGTTATGTATTTGGGCCTAACAACACATTATTCTATATTCTATATTGTCTAGGCCTGAATCATAAGAAACGCATTCATAAGTAGCATTAATTTACATTCCAGTCTTTTTCTTCAGAAATATATAGCAGTGACTTTTCTATCGCCTCCCCGTTTTTTTAAAATACAAAATATATTATGTTTCATTTTAGAGTAAGTAACTTATTCAATAAATAAATAAAGCTATTTGCATGGTTAATATTTAGAAAATAAACAGAAAGAGCCCGCATTCAAAAAGCATTAAAAATTAATATTAATATATCTTGTACAATGCTACATTTTTAAAGTTTTCCGAAAATATTTTCCAAAAACTTACATTTTGAAACTAATTTCGTCTCAAGAGGAACAAATATAAATATATATATTTTTTTATGAATGCATTTTTTTGAGTCCATGCTTAGGAAAGAAAATTGTTGCTAACAGATGTCAGATCATTACTTTTGTAGTTATCTACAACTTTAAACAAGCTCAGAAATATTCTCTGTATTTCTACGAAATGGAGTAAAAAAGAATTTGGCCCCGTTTTCGTCCTGCACAGCCTTCACCTGTTTGTGCGTCGCCAGGGCCAAACGATGTTAGCTTTGCCATTTGCGCGATTTCAAGGACATTTTCACTATTTGCAGTTGCTTTCTGTGACTGCGAGTGTCTCTGCTTGTGTGTGTGAGAATGCCCTTGCATTTGTTGTTGTTGTTTCCACAGCGAATGCTGCCTGCGTATTTATAAATGATGCCAAAAACAATGAAAACAGAACTTGCGCTCAAATTGCTCCGCAAATAAGCAGGACGAACAGCTAGCCCTGAAGTATTCTATGTATGTTAATTCTCTTTGTCACAGCTTCGTATGAATTTATTAATATATGTACATCGTGTATGCAAAGTCTTGAAATGTTTTGATTGCCTCAGCAAAAAACATGGACATGGATTAACATGAATTCGAAAGTTGCAAATATTTGCATTGCTTCGATTTAAAATTGTTTCGGATTGTGTACACTTTTATCCCACATTCATTCCACACACAATGTTATGGGATATTCAGAATAGGCTAGCTCGGGCATGAACACAATTGTATCATATAAATAACCCCATCTTAACGTGCACCTACATCACATGAGGTAACGGCAGTTAAAATGTCAGCTTCCTTGTTCTGACGGTTTGAGCTGTGCGTTGATTTTTTTTGATTGATTTTATATATGGAGATTTACAATTTACATTCTACTCTTAAGTCTAAATTAAAAATGTACAAAGATAGGGTGATTATATTATAGAATGATGAGGGACCTCCAATCCTACAATCTCCTTCGCATTCGGACTCCTCCAATTTGGATGATTTCCAAGTCGCGAATTATAGTTCGCTGTAGACGCCTAGGTATTTGGTGTATGTAATAATCCGTAAGACATTCAATTCTAACGCTAAAATATGAGCGACAAATGCTTAATAGCTATTCATTTAATATGCTCTTATGTACCTTGCATACATTTACTTGTCGTCGGGTACTATAAAAATAAACAAATATGTATTTTAATCCGTCGACGACTTCAAGGTTTGCATGCACTTTTCGTAGCCTACATTTTTGCGCTAGTCGTTAGTGTTGTAAAGCGAGCGTAGGAGTAGTAAAGCAGCCTTTTGACCACCAGCTGCAGTTGGGGCTGCGAACACACGGCAGTACAATCGAATCAAAGCGATGGCCTTAAAATAAATATAAATAAATAAATAGAGCAAAGGCAAAGTTTTATCCTCGAGCGCCCGTCCAACAGTTGGCAAAGAAATAAAAATAAAATGCTGTGCTGAATTGAAATGCTTCCAAATCAAACGCAAAGGCCACCGACAACCTGAGGCTATTTAAATTTAAGGACGATATTAAAATTGTATGCCAAGCAGAACGTTGCAGGACATTGGACGCAGACACAGACACGGGCATCGCTATCGCATATAGGCGTGGGCGCTAAAGACGTCTCCGCCATTTGGCATTTAAGTCAATTGACGTGTCCTCCTTAGGAGACTTATTTTGAATTTCAAGGTGGAGTGGGAGGAAAATTTTGTTTTTGTGTCACTTTCCAATAAATTATGCATTTATTTCCTGTGCAGTTTTATGCAAGTTAGAAGCCGCCTGAAAGTATGCAGCGTAATTATTGATTTCGATTTTGGCCACACAATTTAATGGTAAATAGGTT